GGAGCCGGGGCGGCCGGGCGCGCCGCCCGCCGCTTCCCGGAGCCGCTCTGCTCTTCCTCGCCTCCGAGGGATGCTTATCTTCACGAGTAACTGTGTATGTGTGCCTGACACGGAGAGGATGAAGAGAGTGCTCCGGAGAGGGGAGTTAGTTACCCTTTGGAGAAATTCAGATGCATGTTTTCTGTCCGCGTTGCAGCGGCTTGTGCTCTTTTGTACGGTTAATAATCTAGGAAATGAGGAGTCATTGCAGCACATGTTCGGTTAAAGTTTGGAAGACGTTGCACTTTTTTTTTTTTTTTCCATCCGCTTTCTATTATTTGTGAGTTTTAAAGCCTCGACTCTGTAAAGTTTTTTGTAGCTTGAAATAATAGGTTTTGGAAAAGCAAACCACAAGCGCTTTAGATCCCTCCTGTCAAAAGAAATAAAGGGTTGCTGTATTTTAAATGCTTGTTAGCTTCAAAGTTTAAAGGCTGTCTGCCTAAGTAATTCAACAGTTTTAAAAAGTGCAATTCCTTCCATAAATGAAAGGCCAAAGAGATTAATTGCTTTAGAAAAGGGGGGAGGGGGAGGGAGAGAGAAGAGAAGACTGCTAATCAAAACCAAACTATTTCCTTAGAAAAGACTTTATACAACTATTTAAAATATGTGCTGGTCTAGGAAAAATAGTTAAATGGAAAGTCAGGGTATCTTGATACCACAGGAAAGGACAGCTTGCCAAGAATATCTCCAGTGTTCCCTCAGTCTGAAAGTATCCCATATTGCTTTGATTGTTGTATTTACTTTGTGCAGCCCATCTTCTGCCCTCAGCTCTGCGTGAAGCAGTAGAGCACCTGGTGTAGATTGTGGTTAGCAGAAGAGGGAGAATGTTCCTTTCTCTCTTACTTTTTTTTCTTTCCCCTTTTCCTGGCAGAGCACAATTCAGGACTGGGGTGAAGAGGTAGAAGAGGGAGCTGTTTACCATGTCACCCTGAAAAGAGTGCAGATTCAGCAGGCTGCCAACAAAGGAGCAAGATGGCTAGGGGTAAGTAGAGCTTGCGCGATGGCATTTTGGAAGGCTGCTCATGGACTTTGGAGTCTGCTCCTGGGAGCTGAATTCCACATGAATTGTTATGATATTAACTTTTAGCACTGACTGCTCTCACTATTTAAAAAAAAAAAAAAAACCAAAACAAAACACTGAAGTTGTCTGTCTGGGTCATCTGAAATAACTCTCTCCCTGTGTTGACTCTTCCTCTTTTCTTGACATGTAAAAATGATTTGACAAGTTGTGGCCATGGGTCAGATGATACTTAGCACAGAAATAAGGATCTTAGCTTATGGCCTGAGAAGTTGAACATTTAACAGTTATTTCAGATGGGGCTATGGCTCGTTTCTGCTGTTAGGAACCTATCTCAGGTCTCCCAGACAAATAGTCATGGTATTTTGACTAATGAAGGTCTCTGAAAAGTTAGCAGAAACTTCCTCAAAACTTAAGTGAATATAGGTTTGGGTCTTATTTTCATATTGCTTTCTCAGCCGCATGAGAAATTAATTGTCTTCATTTCTGCAAGAATTACAGCTCTGTGCTGTTTTTCAAAGGTGTATTTAAAAGCATGAAGGCTTTAGTGGTAAGTAAAATGAGCTTAAATGCACACGCACTCAATCTGGCATGCTGCTGAGTGCCTTCACCTTTGTCAGGCCAAGTCCCCAGCTGATATAAAATGTCCTCACCTCATTGGAATCAGTGCAGCTGTGGCAGTTTGAGCCAGATCTTCAGGAGGTAGCTATAACTTTCATATTATTTTGTTATGTTTATATATTTTCTCCGGGATCAAAGGCAATAATAGAAGAACTTGTTTTGATGTAGTATCCAGGTTGGTATTTTAAAGACTTTTAAAACTTCCCTGAGGTTTATATCAAATAATTTTCTTATGAAGTTCCATGACACAAAGCAATACAGCAGTGCTGAAACCACAGTCAAGAAAAATAAGCAAATTCTGTCCTGCATACAGATAGTGTTTAGAATCTCCCCTTCCCATGTTTCCAAGAAGTACACAGGGTTCTAATCAGAATGGATAATTTCAAATCTGCTTCCTTTGAGTGGCAGATTTCCCATCTCTGCCTCCTGTTTTTACCAGGAAAAATATTAGAAAGTATTTCTGAGGTCCTGTAAATTTCTCAGCTGGTGGTTTTGTGTAAGACATGGAGATTGTTTTGAATGTGTCTGTGTCCCATAAACATACTTTAGAAAAGTAGAATTTTTTCCTGTTTTGCCTATGTTGTTCCTTGTATGTAGAAGGAGTTTGCCAGGTCTTGGTCATATTCTCAAAGGAAGAGTGCATATGTGTTCCTGAGATCATCACCACAGCTGATGGTGCCCATCTTAATAGGAGGACAAGGCACTGCAAGGTCACGGAAGTGACTTTTGGCTTTCTGTGGCTAGATAGTTTTTTCAGGTCAGAATCGAGCCCTCTTTGTGGGGAAGGAGGCAGTGTGTCAGAAGTCCGCACCTGTTCCAGGCATAAATCGGTGACTTCAGCTTCCAGGCTGGCGCCTTTCACAAGCAAAAAATCTCATGCATATTATTTAAAAATATTTTTAAACATATGGGCTGTTTTTTTCCCTTAAGCTCTTCAGAACATAAAATATTTTAAGCTCTTTTTGTGATCTTGTTTTATTAATGGCTTTATTGTGGTCCTGAAGTCAATAAATAGCCTCTAACCCAGAACATTATTTACGAATAGCCATCCCTGCCCCCAGCAGTTTTGCCTTGAAAAGCATAATTATCTCTCTTATAATTGTCATCAAGTGATTTTTTTTTTTTAATCTGGAGCTTATAGGGTTTTATGATAATTTAATTTTTTTTCTATGCTTTGAAATTCATAGTACTAAATTAATAAGTTGTTGGATTTATCAATGTTGGTCTTAATTTTTTTGATGGTGCTCTTAAGTCAGGCTTAGGTTGAAGACTCAAGGTCAACTGAAGAGTATGGGAACAACCTATTTGTACCTCAGCAAGTATTGAGCCTTCATTGTAACAAATGTAGTAACTCTGTTACTGATTATACCCATGCGTGGATTAACTTTCTAAAAAGTTGCTTTTTCAATGTCAGTTTGTGTCCTGTAAAGGTCTACTTAGGAGTTTGAGCTTCTCTGAGGCACTGAGCTTCTCGTGGTTTATTGGTGCAGGTCAAGTTCCTTGTGGCTTGAAAAGCCTGAGTCTTTTAAAACCTCGATGTTGCATGTGGCTATTAAATATTGTGTGGTGTCAGAGCAGGGGTTTGATCCAGCGGTTCCAGAGTGGTTAGTTCTTAGTGATGCTGCATTTGTAAAGTGATTTGGAGGCGTTTCAGCTGAAAAGCATTAGATGGTAAATTATTTGATGTGTCTAAGAGAAATGCAGATCTAACTGAAAATTTCATAGAACCTGTGGTGAAAGGAATATAAAATGTCTTATTTATTCTACATGTGTTGGGATTTATTACCAATTCCTTTAATTACTGAGAAGCTTGAAATCTTGCTTAAATACGTTCTTGTACAGGTACCAGCAAGTGAATGAGCCTAGATCTTTATGTTTCAAGATGTCTAATAAACCTTTTTTAAAATTCTCTATCCTAAGAACCCATCCAGGGTTCTTGAATGGTTGGCCCTGTAATGAGAGAATGGTCTGTTTAAAAGCCAATCATAAGATTACAGCTTAAGCACCGTAAACACTTGCCTATTTAAATACAGAAATGTCTTTCTTGTGTTTCAAACTTCTACAATCACTAAAAGAAAAAGGCTGTGACTTACACAGTCACCAGCAGTTCCATAACTTTCTGAAGTGTGAAGCTTTTGTATAAACACCAAATCTCTTAGCTTTAAATTTAATATTAGACATCAAAGTATGCCAATAATAGCTACTGTTTTTGCCACTAAATACTTAGTCACTAAATATTTAGTGAAGCTTAAGACTTTAAGCACTACAGTATTATGAAATATTAAAAGCCCTAGTAGTACTGAGCCCTAGCTCAGTATTGTGATAAACTTTAAGAAAAAGCACTGTCCTGACTAAAAAGAACTTGCAGACTAAATATCAAATGAGGCTTGTCTGTACACATACGTCGTCTCAGCTGATGATTGGTATCCAAGACAGTGGTATCAATTTTGCAACAGTCTGGTTTTTTTCTCAAGTTATTTGTAGACATCAAGGCAATGGAGAGTCTTAACAAAACTTCAAAAGTCATATGTAACTTTTGGACATGTTGAGAGAGAATACCTCCAAACACTAGATTCAACAAGAGAGAGCATGAAGGCATTTTTTTTAAAACGAAGTGGGTTTTGGTGTCTCCAGGATAGACCTTGAGAGGTCTCCAGGATCTTGAGAGAGATGATGTGGAGATTGGGAGCAAGCCATGAAGGCCATGGAAACTGAGATACATGGCCTAACTTCTTTGGGAGAGAGAAGGATGGAGAAGTAGAGGTTTGTATAGATGGACAGCACGCTCAAAAGAGGGGATGAGGAGAATGCTTTCTGCAGCAGGCTTTTGAGTGGATGTTCAGCATCATTTTGAATGGCATTACGTCAGGCTAGAGAAAAAGGCATATCGGTAACTGGAATAGAAGGTTTGAGAGTGCAGCAAGGAATTTTAATGATGTGGCTAGAAAGAGAAGGTTGTATTTTAAAACTATGACACAGAAAGAACCTGAAAAATGAGATTCACCTTACCTCTAAGGATGTAAAGACAACCTGTAGGGAGGCTGGCACCCTATGTGTCAAACAGGATGGTGCTATTGTCCGTGAAGAAAAGACAACAAAGCAGAAAAGACAGATTAAAAGTTTAGAGTTCTGTGGGGTTTTTTGATCTTGAACTGACAGCCAGGTACCCATGAAATGAAACAGACAAACTGAATCATACCGTAGCCAGAAGCAGATAAGGACAGTAAGGCAGTGGCTGTAAAAGTAGATCAGCTGCTAAAAACCTGAATTTCTGTTGCCAGGAGCAGTATGCTGACAGAGTATGAATGGCATTGGAAGACATGAACTCCAGTCAGCGATTTATTGTAAACAGTAAACTGAAGAGTAAACAGTTAGTTGAAAGAGAAAGGAAAGAGCAGCAGGTAGAGAAGTAAGTGGAGAGATGGGGGTTTAAGAGGTGAGAGACTGAAAGATATTTTGACTAGGAGAGTGATGGGAGGCAAACGTACAAGAGAAAGCCATATGAGTTGGGATTGGATCCACCGGACAGGCAAAAGGATCAGAGGAGGGCCCCAGGAAAGAAACTTCTGCACTTGTCAAATGGTAGAAATGAAAATTGTTCAAGGGGTCCCTTGCAAAGAAGAACAAGAGCTGGAGAATTTGAGGAGCTGGGACTGCAAGTATGGAATGAGATTAAATTGAAATACTGAAATTGCTCAACTATGGAGTGGACAAAATCGAAGAAAGAGGGGAAGGAAAAAAGGTCTTTCTGGTGAAGGTAATTAGCCTGGTTGTTGTGTTTGTGCCAGATGCCAGTGGATGTATACACTGAAGATGCACCAGGGCTAGGGGCTAGCAGAATGGGCCTTACAGTGATGGAAAGAGAAAAGAATGAATGGAGTAAGACAATAAGGCAGGAAGAAAATGAATGACCATATAAATAGCAAAGAGGCAAGTGAGGGGGTGGTTTAAGGCTACCCAGATGGGTGAATGTTCTTGGCAACTGACAAGAATTGAATCAAGGCAGTAGTTACTCTTGCCAGCTGATTCCTTCATCAAATATGACTGATCCAACAGGAGGTGATGCTTGTGTCAGTGGGGTTTGCCTTAAATTGGTTTTCAGGAAACAATTAGATTCTGTAGAAAGGTAAGTAGAGTAGGTCTGTGAGATGCTTAGCTTTACAGGGGCACACTTGGAAACTGTGGGAAGTATTTGTGAAATCAAGTGGAGCAGGGAGTTCAGATAGTTGAATGTGTGAGCTTGGAAGTTTGCGAGTCAAAACTGCAAACGCTACCTTGACTTCTAGTTTGAATAAGGGAAAAAAAACTTTAAGAAAAGGGTGCAGGAATAATAATCTAAAAAA